CTGCCTGCGTCCAGGCTGGGATGAAATAAGGAGCCCGGCTGTGGAGCAGCTGTGCCGGGTGATGCCAGGCCAACCCTCAGCCGTGCGTGACCCCACGCTCTCCTCTGGCTCCCATTACACTCGCCCGGCGGAGGTTTGGGTGCATCTCAAGAGTCGGGCGGTTTGCGGCATCCTGCCGCTGTCGGGGACATTTCGGAGGGGGTCGTGCCAAGATTAGGGGATCTAATAATTCTTCCCTCAGTGAGAGCTCAGCTTGAGCTTGGGCGAGGGTTTGGGAGCCGGTAGGTCCAAGCCTGGCTGATCTTTGAGGGTAGGTAGGAGACAGCAGCTCTGTGCCTGCCTCGCTTTGCGACCATGCTTCCCCGGCACACAAAACTATCGGCATGGGAACAACACCCCTCAGTCGCGGCATGGCGTCACTTGTGGTTGTGGCAATGACGATGGGATCTTGTTGTCTTGGAGCTGTCCTGATTAGTGAAAAACCTTCTTGGCAAATACTTTTCCTTCAGTTCGTGTCACACCGGTTTGAGAACCTCCGTAGGAGCACGCGCGGCTGTCCTGCTCGCCCCCGGTTCCAAACACCGGCAGTACAGAAGCAGAGTCTTATTGCTGCCAGAGCTGGAGTTATCCTGGCTGCTGGCACCGGCTTTCCCTCCGACGAATCCTTATTAAAGGATTTAAAGCATGCTTGTTCCGGTTCCAAAGCTGCCCATGCCCTGTATTGTTATTTTTTTCATCGTTGCCTCTCTGGGTCAGGAGCGGGTAATTTGTGGGGCCGTTGCCTGAGCTGTTTTTGAGGTCCCTCTCTGAACCCCATTCCTCGTGGTTGCAACACTGCGACGAGTCTCTGCCCTCATCCCACTGATCGGGACCCAGATCAGAAGCAGGAGACATGCCCAGCAAAAGAGTAAAGAGGGAAAAATCAACCGGCCACACTTCTGATCGTCCTAATTGCGGCACTCGGCAGCCGGAGCTCTGCCCGGGGTGCCAACGAGGTGTCCCAGACGCTGGCCTCAGGGTGACAGCTCCCACAGCGACATCCGGCACTCGGCTCGGCACCTCTTCCCGATCTTCCTCTCTCAGTGCACACCCGGAGTGAAGCTTTGCGTGGGGAGCGACCAGCCTCCCTGCCGAGCTCGGCACGTTGCTGTCCCTCCTTGTGTGGGGACCATCACGGCAAAGGGGGTCCCTCATGCCCTGCTGGCGATGCCGCGGCAGCCAGCCCCGTGCCCTTTGCTCCGGCGGTTCGCACTCCCCGTGGCATGTTTGCTTTGCCACCGGCCGCTCCCCGCCGAGCCCAGCCTTGGCTGCTCATCCCAGAGAGGAACTGCTGCCTGACTCATCGGAGCTGGCTGGGCAGCCCTGATCCTTTCACCTCTCCCTGCCTCGCACGCCGTTGGCAAAGGAGCCGCCGCGCTTCACCGAGGGGGTTAGGCAGGTGGGTAGGGGTTTTTCACGGCCCAAGCAACAATTTTAGGGTCTTTTCACCCCTCTATGCATCGCCTTTTTGCAGCGGGGTTACCTGAAACGCGTGAGCTTGGCTGAAGAGGAGAAAAAGGGGAGCTGCACAGTGCCCATCCCTAAAATTAGCTTTTCCCTGAGCGACAAGGGGCCTGTGGCCACCAGCTCTAAAATTAAATAGCAGATAGTGTTGGGGAGGGCAGATTTGTGCTGGAGCTGGAGCAGGATTGCAAGCAAGGCACCTTGCCACTGGCCTGGGGGCGAGTATGGTGCTTGAGGAGGTAGAAGGGATTTTATTTCGGGCTGCGCTGAGGTCAGGGAGGGAGCGTCGCCTTCCTCCAGGCCTCGGTTTCCCCAGGCTAAGGATACTGCTCCTGCGGGTGCATTGGCCGGGCCTGGGTGCACTGTGGTTTTCCACACAGCCACTCAACTCCTCTCCCTGGAGCAAAGGTGGATATTCCTTGTCCGAGGAGTTTTTTTTGGCAGCTCTGCGTGATTTTTGGGATGAAGCAGGAGAAACGTCAGTTAACAAGAGAGGCTCATTGAGCACCCAGCAGCTGGGGCAGGAGCGATGCCAGCTTCGATGCGAGCCGGCGGTTCGGATTTAACTAGAATAAGGCAAACTGCATCCTGCCTGCATGGGATGAGGCCGGCAGAGCGAGGGGAGTTGTTAAGTCGGGGCTGGAGAGGTCTTCCTGCCAGCAAGGACCTGCCTGCTCATGGCCAGGACCGGCCGGGGGACAGCCGGCTCCCTGCCGTG